AGATTTTGGGATTCTTTGCCTTTGGGAGTTTCAATACGAAGGCATGGCAGCCTATTTCACGCATATGCGCGAGATCCGGCTTCTTATCGGTCCACCGCTCGTGTGGCGTCTGGTCGGGATTACGGAAAGCGCTGGTCAAGGTGCGGTTCTTGATGTACGTCTCAGTGAGCATCATCTCGCCCCACATATTCCGAGGGAGCTTTGCTGACGAGAGCGATGCTAGCGCGCGACTCATGAGAGTGTGATGAGTACGCTCAATGAGACCCATTTGGGCCGATGAGTAGGGTGCCGAAGTTTCTTTCTTGGTCCCATGTTCTCGTAGGTATTGAACAAAACCTGCTGAATCAAACTCTGTCCCAAGGTCCACACGAAGAATCCCGACTTTCTGTCCAGATTCGGCTTCGACGATAGCTTGCCATCCCTTGAATTCTCTCGCAGCATCTGATTTTCGCTTCAAGAGGATGGTCCATTGCTCATGGGAATAGTCGTCGATTAACTGGAGCGTATACAAGTATCCACCCCGTGCAGCTACTGCCTGCGGTCCCGCAAGATCGGCAAAAACCTTCTGCAGCTTCCTCGTCGATCGCGGCCCTTTACGCTTCTTGGGAACGGGCTTCTTTTTCTGTTTCCCGAGAACACAGTCAGCACATTTGGGTGGGATGTGTGACAAGTCTGCGTCCATACCGGTCACTGCTGAGCCGCGTGCCATGTCGAGGACTGTCTCGATGTTGACGTGTCCTAGTCGCAGGTGCAAGGTTTTGAGTGTGGGACGAGCTTTAGTGGCGATGTTCGCGAGCGTGCGAGTCGACTGGTAAATGGTGGCGAACCGCGGTGAAAAGGACCTTCTCCACGTTGAGCGTGTAGAGGCCTGTTCCAGCACGGGTACCCGTGGCAACCACCTTTCCGGATATCCGCTTTATAAGGCAGCCATGGCTGCTGAATGTTGCATCGTGCCCATCGTCACAAAGTTTGCCGACTGAGATGAGGGAAACGGTGGCTTGAGGGCAATACAACACATCCTTCAGAATGAAGCAGCGCCCTTTGCCTACACAGATTCGGACCTCCCCAATGCCGAGGGCTTTGATTGAGGATCCACCGACACCGGACACTGTACGCATGCACGGCTTGATTTTGGTAAAGTACTTGAGAATCGGGCAGATGGAGCTGGTAGCGCCCGTGTCGAGGTACAGAATGAGAGACGCAAGGACGTGCGGCTGATTACGTGCCAAATGGGCAATGTCGGCTGACACGTCAGACCAATCAAAAGAGGTGGTTTCGCCGCGTGGGGCATTAGTGTCAGCGAAAAAGGATCTGTATCCTGCTGTGTCGTTCGCGAAGGAGGCCACATCATTGTCGGACTCGTCTGAGCTGTTGATGGCAACTTTGGCTTTCTCCTTTCGCGATGATACCCCGCGCTTCGGTTTCTTCTGCGCTGGTGGCTTAGCACGTCCGCCCGGGCCATAGCAGTGGTCCCAGTCATGGAACTGTTTAACGCGGCTCGTGCACTGGGGATTTGTGCAGGGACCCTTCCCATTCGGGTATGACTTTGGTGATGCCTGCGATTCCATCCGTTTAGCGAAAGCGGCGAATGAGGCTTCATTCGCCGTAGTCTCTGCATTCTCGGCATTGATGCGCACTTGTTCGTGTTTGATCCTGGTGGCGACAGCTGCTGAGGACAATGATCCGGCGCTGAGTAAAGTGTCAAGCGACGAGCGAGCATCTTTAAAATCCGCGCCAGCCATGGCGTTGAGGTAAATGATGCATCGCCATTCGTCCTCGGTTGGCGCTCTGACAGCGAAGAAGGAGTCAACAAGAGTGTCGAGCTTCTCTGTCACCTTCACCAGGGCACTTTCCCGGGAGTAGCGCAGTGCGAGTGCTTCCTGCAGGATTGTGAGCTGCGACAGCGCTCCCGAGGGCTGGTGTGCAACTTTGAGCATGTCCCAAGCTGTTTTGGCGATTACTTCGTCCTTGATGAGACGTAGATCCTTCTTGCCAAGGCGTAGACGTATGCATGAGAGGACGATAAGATTTTCATCGAGCCAACTCTCGTATGCCGGGTTGGGGATCAAGGCCGGCGGTGTTGAGGAGTCATTGATCTGCTTCGGCGGGATGGTAATACCCCGGCCTGAGATGTATCCCCACAGATCTGAGAGGACAAGTGCAGACTGACACTGGGTTTCCCATGTCGGCCAAGTGTCTGGTGATCCGTCTTCTTCGTACGCAAGGTTATCGAAGGGCTGGAATCGTGTGCCCGACATGATGACAGGCTGGTTGACTGGTTGCGCGTGGATTCAAGCGCTGTTCGGGGCCCTATAACCTGTGAACCAGGGAGACCTGTACGACTACGTCAGTACAAGCTCTCACTGCGTTCGTAACAAGAACCAGTTAATTATATTTACCTGTACGACTACGTCAGTACAAGCTAGGTAAATAATAAGTAGGTGTAGTAAGGATAATTAATAGACATGCGTACCTCTCACTGCGTTCGTAACAAGAACCAGTGAGAGGCAAAACGTGACTGGAAAATAATATAGCTTGGCACGAACACGTGCAGGACGCGTAGCTCGATGTATAGATGTTAACACCCACCCCAGCTTCACGGGCCAGGAGACCGAAGGGGTGGTCCCAGCCAGGTAACCGCTCCCATCGAACGCCAGCGGGTGAAGCCGCTCCATTGTCAGGGATAGGGAGGATGGGGGGTGGGCGTCGCTGAGCACGCCATGTACTAGGCCGGCTTCATCGAGAACCAGGTGAGTCGGACGCAGAAAGAAGTCGACCTCCGGGAGGCGCGTCACGAATTCCAACTCCTTGATGAACGTGGGTCCGTGCGATATGTGTTTGAAGACCCGGACGTCGTCAGAAACAGCGTCTGAGGTGGTTTTCACGAGACAGACGTGGGGAGAAGTGCAGAGCTTATGCGTGCGGCGGAGAGAAGACAGGAACACGGGGGGGACAGAGACGGGATTCGGCAACAGGAGGGCGTCAGGATAAAAGGGCCCGACCCTCGCTTCCACACTGGGGGAGCCTCCGGGAAGCGTCTTGAAGTCCACCGACGTCCGGACTCCCTGCTTCGGCTGTACGCGGCGGAGAATCTGGTCGAAGCGGGTGTCAGTCAGCGTGGAAGCGGATGGGTAGCGTGGTCACACACCAGATTCATCGTGTCTTGATCGAGTGCGGTGCCCTCGCCGTCCAGAGCGGTGTTCTCCGCGCATTCTGGCACGCCTTTGTTCCGAAGATAGCGAATATGGACTGCGGCCCCGGTACCAAAGACTTTGGGGTCCGGGTCGATAACAAAATACGTCTCGGCCCCGTCGGGGGGGCCGCCAGGGCACTCCCACACGTTCTGAGACGCCTCAGACCTTGAATGTCCTGTTGAATCGACAGGTCTCCAGAATGGGGTCAGCTCCGGATTGCCTAGAGCTGGGTACATATTCAGTAAGTGATCCACCGATATAACAGTAGACCCGCCAACTGCTTCGGCCATAGCGGCAGGAGCCAAGACGCTCCGATTAGGTTCTTGCTGCGACATGATATCATCTATGATATCTGATATGTAGCCAGAGGCTGAGTGCGGCAGCGGAGTGCCACGTCGTCTGGTCAGGTGGCATAACGGCACGTGATCCCTCGTGACTCACAGTTAAACTTTTTACTAGTCTCTGCTAGATAGACAAGCTTTAGGACAGAGCGCATACATTACCGTACAGCGGGCCGTGGCTTGCGAGCTCGCCAACGCACGGCGGATTCCGAGTCCCGGGGGTTCGCCGTCGGCAAAGCGAAATCTCAACATCTCGATCAGGCGAAACGTGACTTAAGCATGTGACTATTCAGGTGACTTTTGTGTGGCTGTGTACATAGTATAGGAAACTGAAAGGAAACTGTACTGTACCATTTCGACCGTAGGTTCACGGTATGTCACCCGTCACCACACATGTTCATTTCCTTCGATGTTCATTCCTCGGCAATCACGGTAAAATTGCCATTTACGGTAATCCGGCAACTGCCAGAGGGGAAATTTTCACATTTTTTAGCCTATTTGGGCCGAAAAAGCTGGCCGTCACCGTCACCTATACCCAATAGGTTCAGTTCACGACCCCCCGTCACCTGTCACCTGAACCTACGGTCGAAATGGTACAGTATAGTGTTGGAGTAACAACCCGAACTGTCCGTGCTGGACTCACCCGGACTCACCTACCACGGGCGCGCTTGGGCGCTCACGCCAATACCACATGTATGTACATGTATAACGACTAGGGCTGGACACCATACATAACCGTATTAAATAATAATGTGGGTCGAAATGCAGGGCTGGTACGCACATCGCCGTTCAGAGCAAGAGGCATTTTGATCTCGGCTGACAACTCCGCACTCGGCCCGTGTGCGCCGCCATGTCTCGTATCCTTCCCAAAACCCATACTCCGTATCTTATCCTTCCTCTCGCGACCTGGCTGAGGAGATGCAACGATGGTACCCGGCTCTGTCGGCCTCCCTGGGTATCGGAGGCGTTAGACACTGCTGCCTGCAGCTTAAGCGTTGTGCGCGTTCTCTTCCATCCTTTGGGCCGAGCGCGTGGAACGCATAGGCATCTCATTGTATTCCTCGGGCAGCGCGAAGACAATTTTTTATCCAATAATTCCAGCGCATAGGACACTTTTGTCTCTCTCTGCGGCTTCTATCCCTCATTCTGGAGCCTATGCATTTTTCGCAGGCCTTTCTCGTTCGGTGCATGAAATGACTCCCTGCGCCTCGGTTCATGCGCACTTCGGCCATCGCCTCTATCAGACCGCTCGTGGACTAATCACCCCAAAAGCTGCTCGCCTTTCGGAGTGCACGACCTCCACATCGGGCGTTCAAATTCCCTTCACGATGTGGAATTGACGCGAATACTGCGGCCGCCATCCATAATTATGGACGAGGAATTCTGTTCAATGGACCGACGATTATGAACTGGATACTTCCGACGTCCCCGAAGTAAATAAAAAAACTATCATCAACTCTCGAAAGGTCTTCGGGCGGGATCGAACCACCAGCTCTTCCGTGACTTTCCTGTACGGCCAGCTATGGCATGGAAGCGAGTTTCGTTTACTCCACGAAGACTTTCTACGCCTATTTCAAAGCGCCTGATATCGGAGTGTACACGGTAGGTTATAGCCAGGATACTCTTTTTCCAACGTTGCTCTGAAATTCCCAGGACAAAATATTTATTCCTGCAACGTGGTCAAGAGCATTCCCTGCTCCGCATCCAACACCGTGCATGTGGCCCAATTATGTAGGCGCCGATGCGTAGAACTGTAAGCCTGCCCGTTAAACTCTTACCTGGACTATAACAGAGTATCACGCCAAACATATCTCTGGGTCCAGTTTTTAGCTTCGGCTTCCTATCAGATCCACAGGAGGACAGGGTCAGTCTTCATGAAGAAATGTAACCCACTTTCCAATTATGCATATGCGAAACAACTCAGCTCAGGAGGATTGGTGATTTGATTGGTGGTTCGAATCCACCTGAGGACGTGATAAGGTTGAATTGTTTTTTGGAACTTCTCAAAGAGCCATTTGATTCTCAGATTTTGCACAGAAGCTAACGGCCACATCCTGGGGTTCGTTCCGACAACGTCTGGTGTTTGTTTCTGCGTCTATCTTCTAGGGTCCGCAATAGTGTATTTGTGTACAGCCTAGATACCGAATCGAAGGGCAGATACAAGTCTTCGTAGAGTGCTGAAGCTCAGTAAATTCAAGGAGTTTGTGGGAGAGTCGGTGGTTCGACCCCGTCCGAGGGCATGGGAGCTGTTGATATGTTTTTAACGTTGAAAGAATATACTTTGCCAATTGATGATTCAGTTAAGAAGTCCTCGTTGAGCATCCAAGGAAGTTCAACCCCGTTTCGTGGAGGCACATAGGAGAGGGGCGGGCAGTTGGTTCGAGTCTGCTTGAGGACGACAATCGCGGCCGGGAGTGTTTCCCTTCCAGCCAGAATTTTTGTACCTATTGAACAAGGAGATTCAGTACAGAGGTCTTTGTCGAAAAGGAAACTCAGTTCTGTCCATGTTATCCCCCACTGCCCAAAAAGGGGAGGGATGTTGGTTTGACCTCAGCCGAAGACTTATGGTCTTGGAAACTTGTTTTCGTTGCTCACGGACACTTTGGAAATGAAAGGACCAGGCCAGTGACGAATTGTTTTTTGGGGGGTAGATAGGAAAACCGGAGCGAAAAATTTAGCTCGGAATTATTACCTGTGCACGAAAGAGGAAGAATGAAAGATCACGCTCGGAGGGGCGAGGTAAAAGATGTTTTATACGTATATGAATGGCCAAGGAAGAGAAAGTTGATTTGTGGGGACGTTTGCACACGCTGCGTAGATATAGATTTAGCGTATCAAGATAGACAGACCGAAAGTTAGGGTGCGGGTTGGAGTTGAAGCTTTGAAAAGACGTGTAAATATCGGAGACAGCCGCAAATTCTGGGCAAGACACAGGGAGATCTGGGGCTTGGAGCACATCCGAAAAGCTGAGAAGCCGGAAGCCAGGTCATGGGCGCAAGTCTATTTTCAACTCCTGAATGGGCACGGGAAAAATTGAGACAGTACACGACGAACATGATGGGTAACATTGATCATGCCTGTACCTTGCCCAGGGTACGGGCGTTGAAAACTAAGCGCCGATTTACTCATGTTTGGCATCCGGCCCGAGTCTCCTTACTGACTCCCATCATCCTTCTACCTTACCACGCCCGAACAACAAACACGGATATGGCACCGCCGCTGCTCTCGGTTCCCACCGAGCTTCTCCTGGCTGTAGTCGAGGCCATCGAGGACGCGGCGTCGCTGCGCAGCTTCGCCCTCACCTGTAAGTTCGCCCGCCTGCTGGCCGAGCCAGTCCTCTATCGCGCCATCCTGGTCACCACCGGCTCGCAAGCATCGTGCCTCGCCGAAGCCCTGAAGAAACAGCAAACTCCCATGCGTGCAGAGTTCGTGCAGGCGTTGGACCTGCGACCGGAGTATGACAAGGACGCGGACGTCGAGGTGCTGACACCGCTGGTCGGGGCGATGACACAGCTGCGCGCGCTGTCGATGGAGAGCCCGTTCGCTAATTACGGCCTCTGGCACTCCAGCGGGATCCGGTGGGAGCAGCTGATGCAGGGCTACCGTGCGCTGTTCCTCGATGCTCAGCGCGGCACTGGCCTGCAGAACCTCCAGAGCTGTGAGTTTTTCTTGGTCTGTTCTGATCGCAGGTACTGACAGGGCTGGAGTGACGATCCACTGGTCGGGTGATGGCAGTGAATTCTGGCTGCTCACAGAGTTCAAGCCGATCCTCATGCTGCCAGCCCTGCAGAGCCTCACCATCTCATGCGCCATCCTGGTTGACGACCTCACCGATGGCCTGGCCGCCTTTGCCGGCACAACACCCTTGACTCATCTCGAGCTGATTGAGTGCTTCGTATCAAAAAAGGCGCTAACTGCTGTGCTAGCACTCCCTCGCGCGTTGCGGTCCTGCCACCTAGGCATCATGCGCTACCACACCTCCCCGTCCGAGACTTACAATGAAGCCTCGCCCGAGCAGCAACTCGACGCCCTGCACCAGCAGTGCCACTCGCTCCAGCAACTCACTTGGTTCGACAAGGACTTCGCCTATAACACAGACATTCGTCGCATATCTACCGTCCCTGGGAGAGGCCTGTATGATTTCACTGAGCTGCACACCCTCACCCTCGACGGTGCCTCCGCGCTACTCTTTTCGACCCTCCTCTCCGAGTGGGCACCACCCAACCTGGACCGACTGCGCATCATCCTCTACGACGATGGCACTGTCTTGGACGACCCCACCGACAGCATTGCTTACACGCACATCCCGGGGATCCCATCAGCCTTTGCTTTACACCAGCGTGTCCCCAAACTCCACCACCTCGACCTTATCTTCTCTCCCAACCGCTTCATTGAGCCCCTCTGGGCCAAACCCGACCGACGCGACCGCGTCCAGCACCTCGGAGAAGACTACCACGCCTGCGGTATCCATCTGGCCATTTTTTCCGCCAACCGCGGCAGCTTCATCCCGCCCTACCTGTTCGGCGAAGAGGCGCCGTGCGAGCTGCCCGCTTATCGCGCCGAGAACGCCTGGTTCTCGCTTGGATTGACATAGGTGCAATATCTTTGTCAGGGACTAGTGATGGTTAGAAGAGTTCAACTTGATAAATGAATTGGTTGAGAAGTGGTTGGTGTATATGTTGCTGTCGTTTCGAAGGAGAGTAGCTGGTTCGAATCCATCCGAAGACGTATCTCGGATGCCAATTTCATTTCTCTTTCTAATCTACCTTCGAAATCTTGAAAGTCCTTCACCTATGCAGTGTTCAAACTCGACTTGAGGGCGGCGACATTAAGCACACAATATCCTCTCCTCTCAACGATCCTTCCCTGACCCGAAGTTCGGTCCAATCCCCGTTCGATGGCGCGAGTCAACTCATCTTATTAGTCCAGTAGAGCTGTTCATTCTTTCGCAGTGTTACTGCTTCCCCAGCCATTCAGGCCTTCAAGTGTCCCTATAAGTGCTCGTGGAGTTTGCAAAAACCTGAGAATACACCTACCGGTGCTCGTATGATCAGGAAGTGCTGTTAAAGTCTTTGTTGAGTATGTTACCCAACTCCCAGCCGTTGAGAAGTCACCCCATGCCGTCAAATAGGAGGGAGGTTGGGTAGGGAGGGCTGTTCAAACTGGATTTTTATCAGTTAGACTTTCCTCTGGCTTTTCCGCCGTCACGCTCACTTACCTCGGGGGGCGGTGTATTATACTTTTGAGTGCTACATTGGAATACAGCGCAACTTTAGACGTAGCGGAGGAACACAGATCTACATCGAATCCGATGAGATTGGCGTAAGATTTAGATTGAACATAGGTCTGTCCGGCAGGTCGTTGATTGAGTGGGCGACGCAGATGTGAGCCGCCAAGGGGAGTAAATTAATCAATACTTGAGCATGAAAGGGTAGAAATTTGATGCAAAATGAGGACTGAGCATGGCCTCTGGATGAACGGCTTCGAGTTGGTTGAGAAGGGACAAGAACGAGATGATTCAGAGCCGTGCACTTGCAGACGAATGCAAGATAACGAACGAGGGATGTGTACAGCATTGCGTGCTTATCGTTCACTGGCCGAGGCGTATAGAAGACATCTAAGGGCTCAGGAGGAAAGACCAGAGTCGAGTAGGCGGACAGGCGCGTGCAGCAAAATATTGAAGAAACAATGGAAATTGGGGTCACAACGGGCGTATGGTGCGAAAGCTTCGTCTGCTTGTGCGGAGGACGCTTTCAAGCTCCAAGCCTTGAGGCGGAAAGTCACAAGAGAAGGAAAACACTGGGACATGACCATCCGGAGGATTTCATTCGAGACTGGAAGAGCAGCAGAGGGGAGATTGTTCCGAATCTCAACGAAGCTATAGGGATAAACAGAGCCCCACATTCGGTCCGCGGCGAGGCCGCAAACCAAGGGGAATCGGCGCGCTCGAGAGACGGGCGTTAACGCCAAGCGCCGATTTGCGCGTGCTTGGCATCCGGTTCCGAGGATTGGCAATCACGGCCCGCTCCGTCCGCACTCCTCAAGTACTCCTTCAGACAACCTTCAGGACCTTCCTTCTAACGGAACTTGCGTTGGGCCACTTCCGCTCTCACCTCATCCCAGAGGCTTCCTGTGCCTGTTCTCCTTTCCTTGGCCCCAACTCGGCGCGGCTTCGTCCGACGTCGACGGTCCGTGCAGCGTGCAAACGCCATCGCGCAGCATGGTGCGAGTTCTTCTGAAGCGTGCGCGCGCTGCGTCGACGGCCGCCGGCCATGGGTATGCTGCGTGTCGCCTGAAGGACGCGTGTAACCTGGGGGCGTGTACTTATCTGATTGGCGGTGTACTGCTCGCGCCACCGTAATGGTGCGCGTTCCAGCTCTGTTCTCGACCTCCGATATTCCACATGTACCTGCTCACGATTCATAGCACCCCATTCGCATCCCGGCTTGCGAGCGTTTGGAACTCCGAGTCGCGATTCGAGCTCAGCATATACACCATCGTGTATCTCACACTGTTTCATCTGCTCTCCCGTGTCGAACGTGTTCGGGATTCACGATTC